GAGGCAGGGAGCTTCCTTCTGGGTTCTGGGACCGGCTGAGCTCCTCTGCCCTAGGAGCCTGGGATGGAGGTGGGGAGCTTCCTTCCAGGTTCTGGGACCTGCTGAGCTTCTCTGCCCTAGGACCCTGGGATGGCGGCGGGGGAACTTCCTTCCAGGTGCTGGGACCAGCTGAGCTTCTCTGCCCTGGGAGCCTGGGATGGAGGTGGGGAGCTTCCTTCCAGGTGCTGGGACCTGCTGAGCTTCTCTGCCCTAGGAGCCTGGGATGGAGGCAGGGAGCTTCCTTCCAGGTGCTGGGACCGGCTCCATTACAACCAATATTATGAACCTAACCATTGCTCCTGTAGTTCCCGTCATACCTCCACTATTCGCTTTCTGCCTGTCCCCAGATGACCACCAGCCTGGCTCAATAGAGGATTTTTCATTTCCTAGTATGTTGTATAAAGCAAACTATGAGGCAAGTGCTCTATTTTGTGTGTCTTTTTCTACTGTGCATAATTATTTGGAGATTCATCTGTGCTGTTGTTTGTATCAATAGTTCATTTCTTTTTATTGCTGAGTAGTGTTCTGTTTTATGAATGCACCATGCTTTGTCTATTCACCCATGAATGGCTATTTGTGTCATTTCCAGTTTGGGCTATTGTGATTAGAGTTGCTATAGACATTTGTTTGCAAGTCTTTGCATGGATATATGCTCTCATTCCTTTTGGGTAATTACCTACAAGGGGAAATGGCTGAGTTATATGACAGGTGTTGCTTAACTTTTTATAAAAATCTGTCTATCTAGTTTCCAAAGCAACTGCACCATTTTGCATTCCCACCACTGTATGGGAGAGCTCCTGTTCCTCTACATCTTCCCAGCACTTGTGTGGTCAGTCTTCTGCATTTTAGATATCCCAGTAGAGGTGCAGAGGGATTTTCTTGTGGTTCCATTCACACATTCCCAATTACTGGTGATGTTGAGCACATTCATTGTCTTATGCTTTTTGCTACACATGTGTATTAGTCACTTTCCTGTCACTGTGACAAAACACCCAAAGCCCACAACTTAAAGGAAGTCTCTTTTGGCTCGTGGATTCAGTCCATGGTCAACGGGCTCCAAGGCAGAAACAGCATGGTGAAAGGTCATGGCAGCCAGCAAGCAGAGAAAGAAGGGAGGAGTTGGAGTCAAGAATACACCCACCTGGATGGTGGCGACCAGCTTAGCCACTTGGGCAGAGAGAGAGTTCCCTGGCTGCCTGGAGCTCTGCTCCCTCCAACCCATGCCATGCCCACTGATGACCACCCAGACTGTGAGAACCCCTCCTCGCCACTTGCCATGCCCAAAGCAACTAGCTTAGTGCCTCTCCCCACCCCCATACCTCTGGCCTCCTGGCTGTGCCACTACCTGGTTCCACACTACAAAGGCATGGGGTGGGGGGCATAAAGGCCATTGTCCTGAGCTCCAGAAGATAGAGCAGAAGTGAACAACAGATAGAGGGTCTCTCTCAGGCTCCTTGATGAAAACTGAAGCCCACTGGAAAAGTGAAGAGAATCTCTCCAGTAAAGGCACACCAGGCCACCATACTTGTTAAGTTGGAGGGCTCATCACCTCCCATTGGAACCTGGACTATCTTCAGGGGAAGGGCAGCTGGAACCTGCAGTAGAACCTTGCACAGTTCAACCTGCAGGAGGACAGGGAGCTCAACTTGGGACTTGCAGCCAGAAATCTGCCTGAATCTCATGGGCTGTGACTGGCTTGCTGAGATTCATTGACTTATATCTGCACACTGCTGCCCACATTGTCTATTGTGACAGCAGAGACATATCATGAAGGAGGTCCTTCATTTTTATTTTTTATTTGTTATTTTAAAAATTACCACTATTGTTTTGCTCTTATTTTTAATTTTTTTCCTACTCTTTTCAAATTTTTATTTTTCTCTTTCTTTTCTCTTTTCTTTCTCTCTCACACTCACTCTCTTGCTGTTCCACATTGTTCTTCATCTCCCTTTTTGTTGCTGTTCTGGCCCTAATTGGGGTTTCTTCTTTATTTTTCTTTTCTTCTCTTTTTCCCTCTCACCTGTGTCCTCTGGCCTCACTGCTAACCTTCCCCTATCCTTCTACCTACCTATCCCTCCCTCACCAACTCTTTCTAACTCCCCATCCCAAAGGGTAAAGTTGCTATATTGAAGAGTTTATTCACTATAAACATATGTTCAATTGGTCCACAATTTTGATTTAATTCACAGAGTTAAAGGTGATAGATTAATAACTACCACAAATAGTCATTTTCTAAGATGTACTTGATGCTATGGTGTTGCTGATTGTATCACTTGGGCTAAGGTGTTGTGATTGATCTAATCAGTTGTCCTTACTGGTATAATGAAAGTGAGACAGCCTCAGAGTCATTAGAGACTCAAAACCTGAAGACCAGTTATATCTGGAAGACACCTCTGAGAAGCAATCATTCCATAAGAGTTCTAACTACAAGCAACAAAGATACTTACAATAAGCATTTTTGAAGTATCAACCCAGGAATTAAACCAAGGACAGTACCAAAAACAAAAATGAGAAGACATTTAAGCAAGGCACAAACTCAG